GGGTACGCGTGCCTTGCCCTTTTCGGGGCATTGTGCGGTCACATGAGTGACGCCGTTGCACCAGAGGCAGTATCCGTACTTTTGACGAAGGTTATAGACATCCTTGGTTATCTTGTAAGCCGTCCATGGCTGCTGCCCAGTTCCCGTCGATGTTGTCTCTTGTGTCGCGTTGTTCTTCCGAACTCTCTTGGGACGCTTCGGCGGGAGCGCTGCTACAATTCCTCCATCACTCGAGGATGCTGCTGCAGCGTGGAGATCGTCTGTTTCTTCAGAAATCACGGCATTGTTATGTGTCAGACGTTGATAGCCCTGCTTAGCCACATAATGCGGTTGGGACTGTCGTTCGTTTGCGGCCTTGTCATCCGTTTGGATGACTAAGTTCGCACGATCCAGAATGGCCTGGAACGTGTCATAGTCGTACTCGTTGCCGAGTGCCGACCGCAGTCCCGCGCATGATCGCGAGAAGAACTCGGATCGTTGATTTGGAAAACTCAAATCGAATCCTGGCGTGGTCACTATCTTCTGCCACTTGGTTGTCCAGTCTCGAGTTGGCATATTTCCTTGAGAGCAGGTGTACACCTCGTTCATGGCCGCCTTCACGACGTTGCGGACCATGAACCGRGTRAMCCATAGCTTCTCGAACTCTTTCCACGTGATGTGCGTGTGGAGTTCGGCGATGGTGCATTTGTTGGTAGCCGCCAGATGGTTCATCCAAGCCTGCACTCCTCCAATTAGTTGCAAGTAGAGTGCCTTCATCATGTCGTCTGCTGGGACCGTGCGGCATGATGCTTCCGTTAGGAAACGTTGCCACCGTGTCAAGGCGTCCGACTTGTTGTAGTCGTCGAACTTGCTGATGTCGAAGTGCGGCATCTTGTAGGTCTTTGTAGCAGCGTCTGGTCTCGTCTGCAGCTTGGTGATGTCCGTCTTGATGGCGTCCACCGTGCTACTGATCGTGTCCGGCCCATTGAAAACACCTATGTCGCCGATGATGGTGATGACGTGATCGATGCGCTCATTGAGTTGCTTCGTCGCGTCTGTCGTGCAGCCTGGCGCTGCTGAGGCATTAGCCTCAATGTTGTTGATGCGTGCGAGAGTGGAGTTCAACAGTTGATGTTGTTGCTGCTGCTGCGTTGCTTCGGCGCGGAGGGCAGTTGTTAAAACAGCAATGTCTTGCTGGTACTTTTGTCGCTGCTGTCGTTCCGTGCGCAGATGTGCCTGCAGCAGTGTGTTATTCCACACGATGCCTCTCATCATGCCCAGCATCAAGTTAGCCAGGTGAGTCCTCTCTGCCTCCGCCGATGTCGGATCTGCCTGCGCGTCCGAAGGCACAAAGATCATGCCTTGGAGGGGGAACATTGTCCACTGACTTTCACTATGAATCAGGGACTTCGTACTGGCGGCATTCCGTTAGTCTCGTGCCGCTGCGTCAGCCTCAGCAGTCTGCTGAGCTTGGGCTGCCGCCTCATTGGCCAGCCGCTGACGTTCTGCCTCTGCTGCCTCCTGCTGAGCCTTGGCGGCAGCTACSGYATCTGTAAATACCTGTAGCCGCCCAAAATAGTCAGCCAACGGCTCACTGGCCCTTCGGACCGGTCATGCGGGAAGAACTCCGGTGGTGTCCGGTAC